ATGATGACCGGAGTTTCGACATTCGTTTTGTGTACCTACCATCTGTGTGTTCCTCGATCTCAAGGCGGTTTTCTACTCACTGAACCGCTCTAAGCTCTGTTCTTGTCTTTCGATTAAGCAAATCTCCGGTCAGCCTTCAGGAAGGGCCAGTTGGCTGTACAAGGGCTGCCAACGATTAAGCGGCTAGATATCTGGATTTCCGGGTGATAATTTGGTAACCTAACCAATTGGCCCCCATCGCCTATGATGTGTCTTGCACGAGGATATGAAAACCCTGACTAACAGACTTGCTCTCATATGTCGCGTTAGGCTTCCTGGATTTCGACTCCGGGATCGTTTCAACCGTTTTTTATTGATTTTGAGTGATATAGCTGTGTCGCACAGTGTCGCTATTGAATTTAACCGATATCCATATAATTTGTATATTTGCTCTTTGACCTTGCTCGCAATATTCCATTCTTCCTTCTGCTCTTTCATCCAAATTGGTAGCCAAATGACAGCAAGTGTTACCGGTGCTCGAAAGTGTGTAGTTACTGGGTATAAAAACCATGACTGAAACTGTTCCTCACCTAACTGTATATGTCCTTTACACCACATAAAAATCAGTATTAGTGTTCTGTACTGTTAATCGAGGACTCGCGAGGAACCCTGGAGTTTTTAGAGCATTGCGTACTATGGTGCGAAAGATATATCTACAACAATCAGTCTGTACAATCCTGTAATGTTGCACTTCAGTACACTATTCTTGATATTTGTTTGATGAATGAAGAAAGACGAAAAAATAACCAAATAGGCGCAATGTAATATCTACATAAATACACGGCATACTGGTAAGCAAAATATGCCTCACAATCGGTTTGATGCACGAACGCCTCCGGTTACGACACCTAACCATCAACTCACTTCCTATGCAGACCTAATGCACTTTCACCTTTAACTTGCCTGTGTTCCTTGCTTGAATTTCTTCCGTCTACTTCCTCGTTCCATCGAATGGGTATCTGAAACACATCGAATAAAGTAATTACAAGGCAGTGTAATTTCATGAAAATAAAACCGATCCGAACTGCGAATCGTTTCAACTGCAGGGATCACATATGCTTTGATCTTATCTCTCATCCTACTTGCGAGACCATCCTGCGGATCACCCATAAATGTAGCTCATCCTAGTACGCTTTGCTCAGAGTTTACGTGCCTCCTAATTGTTTCGCTGCGGTTTATGTAATTGGTTTTCCGTATTCGATACTTACAGGTAAATAAAGCGTACTATATTTCCCGTGCTAATTTGAAAGCTGCCAAAGAACAGTGGAATACAACTAAGAATGACTACGAGATGACGCTGAATGCGGACTCCCAGGTTATCCCGTGCGAAGATGAAGACACGAGTTCACTGCCGCAGATGCATTTCAATTTCGTTCCCATTGGAAAGTTGGATACATGTGAACCCAACACATTCGTTGGTGAGTTTTCTTATCACTCGATTCGATTGAAGTGTAAGAACAAGTACATTCTAGCTTTTTCACCTAAATTCTCGTGACGTAGAGCTTTTCAGGTGATCAAGTTGATATGTTCATAGCAATTTGAGTTGCCGCCTCTGGCCTGCTTCGTACCATGAAGTTCGGCCAAACACTGTGCCTCTGCCCTTTCGCCACTCCAAATTCTGGCGAACGACTGATCCTTCTGAATGGAGTTTTTACCCCTTCAGCCGTTCACGCAAGGGTTTATAGTGAAAATACTACGGATCAATCATTTTCATGTTTTAACGGTTGGAAGTTTCAGTGCAAATCGACCCGAGTCTTTTCCCTAGCACTTCATGTTCATTCTCATTACTTCCTCTTGATTGCCTTTTTACCATCATGCCAATGAATTTATGCATGTTGCTGTCACCAAGTTCTAAAAGTTTTTACACCTTTTTTAGATATTGTGGGTGTTGTTCATGAGACCGGAGATGTTCAGACGATCATGGCGAAAGCGTCACAACGTGAGTTGCGCAAACGGGAGCTTGGACTCGTGGATAACTCTAATTGTGTGGTTCGTCTCACGTTGTGGGGCGAAGAGGCAGCCAACTTCGATGGATCTCAGCACCCAGCCATAGTCATCAAGGGAGCCAAAGTGTCCGATTTTAATGGTGAGTTATTGCTCTACTTACTGACCTTTTGGATCTGAGCAACCATATTTTCTGCCATAATCTGTTTTTCACCAAACGTGGTTTTGTCTGTCTCCCAACCGGATGATGTGCCTCATGTAGCTTCAGTTAAACGACTACTCATTTGTATTGTGTGCATGCCACATAAACAGTATGTTTGATATATGTGACATCCTTTGTTTTAGCTTTACGGTTGATCTTCTCACCATAACCTTTTTCCGCTCTCTGTGTGCGCCTCTTATGTTCGTATTATTGATAAAAAATGGTGCATATCTGAATGGAAATTTCGGACACAAAAATCATCCGTCAGATACAACTTTTTACAAACCCTAGGTGAATGATATCCACAAATCTACATCACCTATCTCACCTGAATTTTCGGCGCTGTTTTACTTTTTCTCTGTGACTATTTACGATGTTAAATGATCCTGTGCTCTGCACGTTCAAAGTGCGAAATGATGCTGCAAGACCAGGTGTCACTTACTCCCGCTCTGAAACTAAATGATCAGGCATTAGTTACGGTGGATTACCTTTCCTGCTTAGGTAATTACGTGATTTATGACGGTAGCGCAGAAAATAACCGTTGACTAGAATTTTTGGATCCTGGTTGTTTACACAGTTTAGCCTACGTTGGGTGAAGTGAGCAAGTTAGTAATCTGGAGGTAAGCCGTCGTGCGTCCGGCAGTTTGTCAGGTGCAAATATGCTAGTTCAGATTAGTAGGCTTCACTGGCTAGGGAACTTATTGCGTATACCCAACTGTCACCTACTACTCCGCGTTTTGTTCACTGTAGTCGCTTTGGGCTGAAGGAGACCACATGTAGGTCAACAGGTGATGTAGAGGCGAGCCATGAAGGAATGCACAGAGCTATTAGGTGGAGTAGGTATCTCGCATCTTCCAGGTTAGGGTCCAAAAGACTGCAACTGGTTGCTCTGAGACACTGAAGGATATAACAACTAACCGGCAGCAGTGGCGTTCTTTTCGTCGTTTCTGATCAGGCCAGAATGCTCGAAAACGTGTGTATGCACAGTTGGGCTGTGTACTATGTACTGTGTGTATTGACCATAGACATTAACTTTCTTCCCCGTCTCTCAAAATAGGTTCAATCCGTGTCCCCTTTACACATTCTCACTTTGCGATTTTGTCAGCGATCAGTGAAGTTTGCTTCACTGTATTTCGCTGTACGATGATGAGAATGGTGATGGTGATGATGCCGTTATGTTCTACGCTGAAAGTGCATCCATCGCGATGAATCAAGCCATTCGTGACTTGGCTTGACGTGAAACACGAGTTGGCGAACTATTTCTATCGGCGAGTGCATACAATGGAAGTTAGTGAGATTTTGAGATAGTGGGCACTTACGTCTGTCGATCTACCTTCACTGTAAGTAGCCAGTAACGTTAATAACATTCCCAGAAAAACTTATCATAGTTTGATTGCGGTCATCCATCTACCACCTTCGTCGGTTGAAGAGTCACTGGTATCGATTTTAAATCCTAGGTTAGTGAACCCGTTTGACACCAAATACAAACATATTCATCTATTTTCCTCACTCCAATATCAGGCTTATTACAAACAATATACTATGTGATGCATTCACCTTTCTATTTCATATAGATGTAGTCTTACATCATTGAAAATGAATCCACCAAAAACATGTTCGCCTACATTATGCTTTATCAATGGCTATATTGTACGACTTGATATAATGTACCTTAAGCAGTAAAAATCGCCTTGATAAAGGTTGCCCACGATAACTGAAATGCAGCTTATTTTCACCCGTACCGACATCGCTGTGCTTTCAAAATTACAACTTATATAAAACATATCACATGGCGCATCGATTTTTCGATTCACTCCGAAAGTCGTTCGGATCTGACACTTTATACGCATGTTTTAGCTTATTTCCTTATATGCCACTTTCCATGTTGTCGCATATGTTCTGCTCTAATGGTGTTTTCAGAAACGAAAAAAAATTCCCTTAGTATTTGAGTCTGGACTGTTTGGGAGTAACTGAACAAATGTTTCCCAGGATTTTCAGTTCATTTCGTGTAANTCGTGTAAGTTTCACGTACTGAGCATACCGGATACGAGACATAATATGAGGGCATTATCTAGACCTGCTCCACGGAAGTGCGCTTGAATAGGGAGTATTATTTTTGATGGTTCCACTAATTAGACCATTTCACAAGTTGATTGTAAGTTTTCCTAAGCAGGCAGGTTGCTTACGACGAGTGACTTTCGTACCATTAATGTACATTCCCATGGAAAACATCTTTCACTAATCACCCTGTTGCGGTAAGCATTTATCTGAGAGACGAACTGACCACCAACAAGAAAGTGGGTAGTTATGCGTCCCTTGGCGAACTCGTTGCTTCTGGTGCAGTTGTTCTCTATTTCTCTTTATCCGTCAGCTATTTGAATTTTCCACTAATTTCTCTGTTTGAACGATCGTCACTGGACTGAAAGGTACTAAATCAAGTAAGCCTTAAGGTTTCGCTCTTTTTTCCTGCAGCTTGAATCAAAGCAGTTCATGTTTGACTAACGGATTCGAAGACATCTTTCTTGCACTAAATCCATAGAGCAATTGGGATAATTTTCGAATACCACAATCATTTTGTACGTATCCACTATCCACCTCTAGTGGGGACAATTATAATCGAAAATTATTCGATCAGGAAAAAAACCCTCATCAAAAAATGGGTTCAATTACTACCTGTGCTAAATAAATTTGAATTGAAAGTGGGTAATCGTACAATAAATAAATAGGAAACCAAGGCGGAAAATAACCACGGAGGCTAAAGTATGAATCTCAGTCGACTAACTGGGCAAATTAGCTTGATAAGAAAGATTTCTTTCAATCAGGTCATGTAAACTAACACCAACATGCTTGTTGATGCACAATTCAGTTGTATAACCTTGCAAGTATCTTTCCGCAAAGTTTGGCAAAGGTATGTAAATTTTGCTCAGCTGGCCCCTAGCAGATCGGTTTGTGTTTATTGAGCTGTTTGATTCTAGCAGGTGTTTGGTTTTCTGTTCATCTGACTCACCAGGATGAGTGGTTTCCACCACATTCTGTGTTCTGTGGGTTTTTTAAAATTTTTGCTTGACTCTTGACAATCACCAGGATAAACAACGACAAAACTGGGATCCCTACATGCAGAATTCCATCGAATCTAATGTGATGCTATTAGGTCACTGAGAAGCTACTTAAGGACCATGTGCCTCATATTATTCGACACCTCGTTTAGTCATGCAGCCAGTCGCCCTCGTCGGAATGTATATTTTTCTCCAACTTGTTGGGTAAAAAATAAAAATTTGGTATTCCAGTCCATGATTGTATTTGTGTAACAATAACAACGTGTACTAATAATAATGTTTTTCTCTATTACCACAGGCCGATCACTGTCAGTGAGCACCACTTCTAGTGTCCTTTTGGCTCCGACAAACGTCCCTGAGGCCATCCGACTGAAGGGTTGGTATGAGCACGAAGGACGATATGCCAACTTCGAGACGTACAAGAGCGAAATGATGGGTGCTGGTGGTTCGTCTGCGGATGGTGCGAACGCCGCTGGCGGGTGTCTAGGTGGCTGGCATCTGACTCAGGATCTGAAGGCTTCGGGTGTGGGCACTAATGTGAAAGCTGACTTTTTCTCCTGCAAGGTATGTTCACGTGCTATCCAGTTCGTCGTCACCTTTTCCTGTTTGGTTAAAGGATTTTGAGAAGTTTATCATTCTCCTTCACTTCCGTCCTCCTATTTGCAATCAAGTTAAAAATAACGATAGACTGAACACTTGTGCTATAACCAAAAACCGATACGTGTTCCTCATTTGAGTTGCTCACATGCTCAAATTTGTTATATTCTCTGATTTACAGGGTACTTTGGTTTTTCTTAAAAAAGAAAATTTCATGTATCAGGCTTGCCCGACTGAGGGATGCAACAAGAAGGTGGTGGATTTGGGAAACGGTCTCTTCCGATGCGAGAAATGTGCTCGTGAGACTCCCAATTGTAAATGGCGATTGCTTCTGATGGTGAGTTGACGTGCGTTTTTTCATTCAGTTATTGTTTACTTTCTTGTACTTTAAGTGACTCCGATATTGATGGCGATGCAATAATTAAGAAAGCATTTGCTGTAAACTACTCAGATTTACGTGTGCAGAAAACAAAGTTTGGTTTATTGTTAGTTACACAGCCTGTTTTGCGAGAAATGGAGGAATTTTTCGCACCCTTATCTTTAATACAACAAAAAGCTGAATATTTTTGATTTTCCTCAGTAGACCATCAAATAATTTTGGTATATCTTTAATGTAATCGTGGGAAACTAGTTTTTTTAAATCGATGTACGGTCCTACTGATTATCATGTCCTCTGCTCCACTCGAATAATGTCAAGATTTGACGAAATTGATCAAGTAATCCATGAGTTTTGGGGTCTTCTAGTAAACAAACCCTACTTTTCTGCATTTTTAACAAATCCATTCTAATCAAAAACATGCTTTATCTGCCCGATTTCCATTCTTGTTGCACATACTGTGTATTCGTCTTCATTTAGTTCGAACGTAATTATTTTTCTCCATCTCCCTTAGGCTAAGATCGCAGACATGACAGGCGATATGTGGGTAACTTGCTTCCAAGATTCGGCAGAGACGTTGCTCGGCGAGACGGCGGATAATTTAGGGGCACTCAAGGAGTCGCAGGTGAGTGAATCTTTGCAAGTTGGTTTTGACAGATAGCTTGTGAGGAACACAACGTTTCGCGCTCCTCGGATGGTGTTCGTCAGAAGAAGGATGTAAGTTAACCGATAAGCTGAATCAATATGACAAAGGGACAGAAACCAGACAGGTATCATTACGCACAATTACTCATTTTGGGCTCACGTTAACCATTGTTCGGGTTCAGTAAACTTAGCCGTACAATTGGAACTGTTTAATTATCTTTCCGATTCTCAGTCAGAGATGGATTAGACCGAGTACTTTTGGATATCACGAACTGCCAAACATGACACTCAAGTTCTTGGATCATGTTCGTTACGAATGCAATTTAACAAAACGTAGTCATTGCCGCTTCAAAATATCTGTGGCGTCACTGTTCAGTAAAACTTTCGTGTCAAGCATAGCATAACGAAATGTACCCATTAGTCAAATGAGTGAAAATCTCTTTCTTCTGTTGTTCTGGTTGCAATGTAACATAGACTACTTTATGCAGAAAACAAAAAACTAATACTGCGCATGTCTAGCGACGAGGCTGTAGTGTGTTTATCGGTTTAAGCAATGGGTTATTCAACTAGGGAACGGCTAACGAGTCGCTGTGTACAGCCTGCACGGGGTTTAAAAAAGGTAGCCGCAGCTGCTCCATCGCCACTCAACATTGGTGGTCAACAGCTTGGCTGTCAAGTGGCTCAATACAATACCCGTTCTGTGGGAACCTCACGTGGTTCGCCGCTTTAAATCGTAGGATTTAGTTTATTGGTTTCCATAATTGAACAGTATGTCTTTTGGACTATGTGGTTCTTTACTTCTTCTGTTTATCACTCAGCGAGGCATATTCGAAAGCCTGAGCAACTGTTGACTCGAATTTTATAATAATTTGGAGGCTTAGCTACTTCTAGAATTGAAAATCGCAGCAGTTAAATCTTCATACCTAATCGGATTCCAGAGGATCGGATGAAAATTAATGTTATCTTGTAAAATTACAGTGTTTTATGCTGATTCGATGTGGAATATTTGGCAGCGATCAGTGAAGTTCGTTTCAATGTATTGTGCTGGACGATGATGATCTGGAATATCAACCATTGCTTGTCCATCATACCATGCCATAGCTTAGTTGACGGTTGTATCCACAACATATTTAGTTACACCTATCTTCTTGAACAAGATGTTTTAATCAGTTAATCTTCCAATTTCACTCCAACGGAATCAAACATACGGTTTTAGATTCGCTAACCCTTATTTAAACGTGTCTTTTAATGTGGTCGTTCTCAGGATGAAACCCAATTGGAGCGCGTGTTCCTGAATTCGGTGTTCAATTCTTGGCTGTTTCGTCTGCGAGCTAAAGTCGATCGGTACAACGTAAGTTTTCTGCTTTCCTTCATATTTCCCGAGTTTGCTCGAACGTTACGTTTTTTCCAAAACTTTTCTTATCACACACTGCATGATTGCCGGTCCCGCAGTATTGAATATTTTGTCGGTAACGCATTACAGTGTGTCGGAAGACGAATTTCTCCCGGGATCGTTTTTCACATTATTGATTTTGGCTGTGCGAATTAAGGGACCGGGATAGTCATTTTCTCCGCAGTAGCCACACAATCCGTACTGTGGATAGGAACGAAGTCGCAAACCAAGGGACAACCGATTCGTCGGTAGTCGGTATCCATAGATTACACCGGTTGGAGCATGTGTTACACATGTCACCAGATAGATTGATTGCCACGGCGAACGATGTTTGCCGAGGCAGGTATTGGTTGGAAAAAGGACAAGGACGGTCAAGCTAAGACCTGGCCTGAGGGTATGAAAACCCTAACCAGGAGATTGGGTCACATAGGTCCGGTTAGGCTCCCTGACTGGGGACTCTGAGATCATAGTCATCGATGTTTGGAGACCCTGAGCGATGACTGGGTGTCGCAAACAATGGCACTCATGCATCTGTCCATTATTCATGTAACATCAGTCTATATGAATACTCCATGTTCTGCTTGAATTTGCTCTCAACACTCCAATATTCATTCTGCTGTTTTATCCAAATGGGCGGCCAAAAGACAGCAACCAAAACCTGCGCACGAAGTGCATGATTAATGGTTGTAAAAACTAAAAACTGAAAACAGAGTGCGATTTTCCTGTTCGTCCTTTATTGCGAGCAACCTTTTATTGATTAGCCATTTACTTAATCGTCAATGTTCAGTTTTTACCATCCTCCGTCTCCAGTAGAGTGTAATAAGAGGACCCCACATCGTCCTTTTTCACCAAGTCCATGGAGGATGTTCCACGGAGTGCTTTGTCCGATCCAGCGATTGTTAGAATTGAACTCTGACTCAGGAACAATCTTGTACATAAAGTGGCTTAGCCCTCACTGAAAGCCACCCAAACGCCAGCCAGGCCAGAAACAGCAGCTTGAGCATCCCCAGAGATGCGTAAACGACGGTTCGGGTTATCACTGGACAATGACGACAATTGAACGAT